CAAATAACGCCATCGATACACATGTAACAATGATAAGCTAATTATATAGTTTTTAGTATTGTTGTTTGGTTTTTTTGCTCTAGAAATGTTGGGTATATACTAGTTAATACAAATCAAATACTTGTATCGATAAAATCTTCATTTATAGTAGGAAGATGGCAAGACAACAGATGACATATCGTTTTACATGCTCACCTTGCTTATTTCAATTTTTTTTTTTACCCTTCATTCAATATAGTCCCGTTGTTAGGTCAAATATGTGAAGAAAAATGTGAAGCGTTCGTACTCAGCGCGAGAGAGAACAACGTATGAATGAATGGAAATAAGAACGGTAAAAATGAAGACGAGTTTGAAAAGAGCGCACACGTAAAAGAGAGAGAAAAGAAACATTGAGGCACTCATGTTTTACTTGTGGTGTAGAACAAGAAAAAATTTGAACCAAAAGAAAGAGAACTTAACTTCGAAAAAAAGAACATTAAATAACTGCCCATATATTCTTACTGCTCTTTTGATTTGACATCCATTTATCTTGCAGATTGTTTAACGAAACGAATGAAAAAATAGGAGAATGTATTCATGATTACGTCGATTGAATTCATCCATTCTTCACGTTTTACGGTCATTATAGTTCGTTTTTTTTTTGTCACGAATTATTCAACAACACGCATATATACTATCGAATAATTGAGATACATATAATACGTGAGTGTCTCTTATGAGCATATTTCTATGAATCATGACTCATCCCGCTGTGAAAAGAAATGAAATGAGTCAGCTTTTTTTCTTTTAAATATTTGCATAAAGCAGTAGGCGATTTTAAATGTATATATTGTTCTCTTCTCGTATCTCATAATTTACAATAATATATCTAAATACAAATTTTTGAAGTTTTCGATCATGGTGGTTTTCAGTATAGGAAAAAAAGAGTTTCTTTTTTTTTTGAAATAAATAAATAATGAAACATATGGTATTAGTATACGTGGAATATATTTTTATTAAGATTTTATGATTGTCATTATAACATGAATGCAAAACACTTTGCATCGAAAAAAACTAACGGTATTTTATAAAATTTTCGTTATTTAGGTGTTAATAGAAATTGTAATTCATTCATAAACTCAATTAAATGTTAGTTTTTACACGTCAGTTAAGACTTTATTAAAGTAATAAAAACGAAAATGTATTTAAAAAAATATGAAATCTTTTCATAGTATTTTTGGTGTTTGGTTGCTCAACATATGATTCAGTTTTCATCTAGAGTAATTCTTCATTTTGATTGAAATTATCATCAACATCAATTCATTTCTCATCTTTACTACTCCATCACATACTTTATTTATTTGATTAAGAACAATTAAGTAGGAGCTAGCAGTCCTAGTGTCTTCAAAATAATAATCTCCTTAGTGTCATTATCATGGTCGTATTTCTTGAAGTCACCACCATTAATATCTTACATTTTCCTTCCGTTTAGACTTTTTTCCATGCTTAATAATCTGTCTCGTCCGTCTCTTGAAAATAAAACTCTGAAGAGAGATGATGCATTTTTCTAGATTATTTTATGGATAAAGATATTAACATTGAGCAAACTCTATGTGAATATAATTCATAAGTTGACTAACTAGATCATCAATAGCGTGCGGACGAATGAATTTTAGATCGATACTTGTAACTTAAGTTTAACATCTCTCTTCAGAATACCATGCAGTACTACTTTTACCTTTTTTAACATAGGTTTTACATACTATATGAACAATGATGACCACATCGATTGAAAGCTATTAGGGTAGTATGAACGTCGAATATTATTTATATATTCAAGACTTCTATTTTATTGATTTGAAATCACGCAAACAATCTCTCGTCCATAACTAATAAACATACAATAATGTCTACTCTCCGCTGATGGATATTATGCATTATGTGACTCAATATTTTTCAATGAGTATTACAAATCAAATAGTAATAAAAAGAAAAACAGAACATTTTCTTCTGTTCTCTATATTTAATTTTGATTACTGAGTGAATGTCTCTCATCTATGCAGATACGTACGAATCCAAATATATTCGATTTCTATGTGTAATATAGATTTAAAACACTGTCTATTTATTCATCATCCTACGTCCGTATATCTGTT